TATGCTATTGATACCTGGAGTTTCTCTGTTTCTGAATTGAATTTTTTATAGCGTTTTCATATTTTCTTTTGGAGCCTCTGGAGTTTATTCGCGAATCACGGCGGTTTATCGGGAACCAAACAGATTTGTTTACTCTTTTCCAGAAAAAAAAACCTTTATCCTCTTTTGGACGTAAAGCGAACTGAACAGTCGTCCCAAAGGTAAAAAGCGATGTAAATAATTGCAATTATATTTTCCAAAATGGCCCACTTCCTCGTAATTTATGACTTGTCGGCATCCTAGAACTTAGAGATTCAACTTTCAAGGAAAAATTTCACCTCATTTCCAATGGTTTCCTTTTCGATTCAAGAACTCTGTTTGTTTGATTGGACGTTCCGAGACTTCGATAATTTAGGTTCGAATCTTTAGCGCTAAAGAATCAATACATAGAATCTTCCATAATCCACAACACATTCGTTTGGTGACAAACAAAAGTGTCTTTCCTTGAGGGGCCCCCCTTTTTCCTCATCTTTCTTCTATGGCTGTTTCATGGCTCATTGAACCTTACCTGTTTGGCTGCACCTTATAGTGGTTTCTTTCATTCCCATGTGATCTTGATGGGAAAAGGGTTGATGCATTTTTCACCCGCACGTTCGGATACGGCATGTCCCCAGGGCCCTAGTTATGCATTCCTGCAACCAGCAAAACACAGTTGGATTCGAGTAAATATTGATCTGTAGGTTATGTTGATAGTTGGCCTTAGGATCAGCTGACCTTCCATAGGTTGTACTTTTATTGTCTCTGCTTGTAACGACCCTAAACCCACCGCTAGAAGATATTGTCCTCTTTAGGTTTTCCCTTTCGAGCTTTCCCTCAAAGTTTTTAAAACGCATCTTCTAGGGAGAGGTTTCCACATTCTTATAAAGAATGATTCGTTCTCCTCCTCAACTGATGTGGGATCTCACACCGCTCCTAATAGTTTGTTGTTTGTGCATTGCTTGGAAAATGACTGTTGATCAATATGATCTTTGCATTGCTAATTGGTGGGTGCCCAAATTGATTTTGTATTATAAATGAGATGTGTGTTCGTAAATGGCTAGCTAGCTTAGCTGTAGCTGTGCTTTGAAGTTGTCGGTTTGAACTGCTTCAAAATATGGGACACAAAGTTTGGTTTGATCTACTCAGATCAATTTTGTTTTGAAAAATATGTTATGGCAGCTAAAACTTTCTTTGCTTATAGTCTAAATCTGAATATACTGCAGAAAGAAGGGAATGAATCAAATGAATGTGAGAAGCCAGCAGGGGAAATGAAGGCACCTCAAACTGAACTAGAAACTGAAAAGTGTATAGAAGAGCCCCAAACAAAGGTGCCTCAAACTATAGCAGAAACTGAAAAACATACTGACGAAGCCGAGACAAAGGTGCCTCAAACTGTTGTTGAGACTGAAAAACATATCGACGAAGCGGAGACGAAGGTGCCTCAAACTGTAGTAGCGCCTGAAAAACATACAGATAAAGCCGAACTAAATGCGTCAGAAACCGAGTCAGAAAGGATACAGATCGCTGATGTTGTTCCCACAACTTCTGAGACCCTTCCTGAGGAGAAAGTAATCTTGCCTTCACCACCTGATGAAACTGAAGTAGTGACATTAGTTGAAGCAACACCAGCAGCAGATGAGACCAAAGCATCTGAGAAGAAAAAAGAAGATATCATTGATGTCAAGAAGACCGAAACGGAGACACCGAAAGAAACCGAACCGAAGCCCGCTGCTCCAACGGAAACCAGTACTGAGGCAGCACAACAAAACGATGAAGTAGTGAAGGTAATTGGTGAGGAGAAAATAACAAGCTGATGAAAAGTGAAGTATTGAAAGTATAAGAAGACGCCTTTGTTGTTGGCTGTTTAAATTTATGATGTGGGAGAAACTTTGCCCAAAGAAGACGTGGCTGCAATCTGCCATGATGATCAAGGTTAGATTGTTGTGTTTGGAGGCTTTGTTTCTATTGTTTTGTTGTATATCATTTGTTGGTTTTTCATTGAGTTGCTCATCCTCTTTCCTTTGCTTTGCATGTAGACATACGAGTTTGTAAGATTAATATGAACATAGAATGCCCTCTTTTAAATGTGAAATTTACAATTCTTCATCATGTTGACTCTGGAATTTGCCTCAACTTCATTCTCATTTCTGTCTTTGAAACTATTTCTAGAAGGGTCAATTGATTGTAGCAATGCTATATACTTATGTTCATAATCAATATGAGCTCCTTAGCGACATTGTTCAAGTACGGAGATGGAATTGCTTTCATTTGTATGGGTCATACTTCTTCAATTGTGCGGCATTGTGATTTTTACACTAGGCCAAGTCATTTGACTTGACCTTATCTCTGCTTGGGGCCAAGGTTTCTCAATGCAATGTCACATCTCATTGCAATCTCAGTTCCCAACAATATGACCCATGTATTGTGATGCTATCCCATGTCTCGGGATAGCTCGACTATCTTGGCTTGTTCAGATACATTTGTTGAGAACTGACCCATGTGTCGATCATCTCATCGAGATATCCTAAACATCAATCCATCTAGGTTCTCATTGGGCATTGGACTCTCCTGTGTCCATGCTAGACCATTTATGGCATTCGTTCTGAATAACTGGTGCATAATCCAACCTTCGACACATGGGCTGTAGTGTCGCCTGATACTATCCTTGAAAAACCCATTTCAAAAGAAGTCGCCCGAGACACTTGTCTCGGAATGCTTTCCCTCACTGTGACACACGCATGTGCCACATGGTAGCCGCTTAGGCCGTAGGGCCCATGGGTGGTGGAGAGTTGACACTATACCTCCCCTAAGGTGCACTTTGAGGCATTTTTAAATTAGCTGGAGATATGATTTTGATGAATGGACATACGGTATCGTGGAGCGTTCGTCCAGTGTTTAATTGACACCAAATTTGGTGAGCTTTCATATTTCATATAGATGGATTTGGCTCCAGAATCACATACCCAAATTTCCTTCAGAATCCTGCCTTTCGAGGTTAAGTCCCGAGGCCCTACCCAACTCAACCCTTCAACAAGCCTATCTTTAACACTCTTGTTTACTCGTTGCCCTTATCTTGATTATTCCTTGTCTTCTCTTCTCTTCTCTATGTGTTCGTGTTGAACAACACTAACTTTTATTAGATTTCAATTGATTTTGTTTGTCTTAAATTGCACACAACTTTAGGCTATTGTATTTTTATTTTACCTTTATTTTATTTGCTTTTGTCTTATCTTTTTCATCTAAAAATTGAAATTTAAAAAATCATGTCGTGTGAGTTCAATTAATATCCACGATAGTATTTCTCCAAAATTGGCTTCACTGACAGTGTTGGTACATCTCCATATTTAAATATAAGCATCCCAATTTTTAACAGAACCCGCCCTCTCTCACGAGACCAAAACTTGAGTCTAGTGCCACAAGGGTGTAGAAACATCTCCCTAGTAGATACGTTTTAAAACTATGAGGTTGACGACGATACATAATGGGCCAAAATGGACAATATCTTCTAGTGGTTCGAGAGGAAAACAAAACATTCTTTATATAAGGGTATAGGAACCTCTGCCTTAGACGCATTTTAAAATTGTGAGCCTGACGGTAATACATAATGTGCAAAAGCAAAAAAATATCTACTAGAAGTGGGCTTGGGCTATTACAAATAATTCGTTGGAATAGCTCAATTGGTTAGAGCGTGTGGCTGTTAACCACAAGGTATCTTGACTTTCATTTATATGCACCTTCATCAAATGTGGGCGTCATAAGTGGAATTTGAACTCACGCACTAATAGACACGTGGAAACATCTCCCTAATAAACGCGTTTTAAAACGATGAGGTTGATAACAATACGTAATGGGCCAAAACGGACAATATCTTCTAGCGGTTTGAGAGAGAATCGAAGCATTCCTTATAAGGGTGTGGAAACCTCTCCCTAGTAGATGTGTTTTAAAACGGTGATGCTATGGCGATACATGATGGGCCAAAGCGGATAATATCTGTTACTGGTGGGCTTGAGCTATTACAAAAGATATCAGAGTTAGTCACTGGAAGGTGTGCCAGTCCAAAGGGCGTGGAAACATCTCTCTAATAGACGCGTTTTAAAACTATGAGGTTGATAACAATACGTAATGGACCAAAACGGACAATATCTTCTAGCGGTTTGAGAGAGAATCGAAGCATTCCTTATAAGGGTGTGGAAACCTCTCCCTAGTAGACTTGTTTTAAAACGGTGATGCTATGACGATACATGATGGGCCAAAGCGGATAATATCTGTTAGTGGTGGGCTTGAGCTATTACAAAAGGTATCAGAGTTAGTCACTGGAAGGTGTGCCAGTCCAAAGGGCGTGGAAACATCTCTCTAATAGACGCGTTTTAAAACTATGAGGTTGATAACAATACGTAATGGGCCAAAATAGACAATATCTTCTAGCGGTTTGAGAGAGAATCGAAGTATTCCTTATAAGGGTGTGGAAACCTCTCCCTAGTAGATGTGTTTGAAAACGGTGATGCTTATGGCGATACATGATGGACCAAAGCGGATAATATCTGCTAGTGGTGGGCTTGAGCTATTACAAAAGGTATCAGAGTTAGTCACTGGACGGTGTGCCAGCGTGGGCAGTGAATTGTGAAATCTCACAATGCCTGGAGTGGAGATGAAACATTCCTTATAAAGGTGTAAAAATCTTTCCCTAGTAGACACATTTTAAAATCGTGAGGCTAACCGCGATACATAACGTCCAAAAGCGAACAATATCTACTAGAGGTAGGCTTGGACTATTACAAATGATTGACTAGAATAGCTCAGTTAGAGGTTCAAGTCCTCCTTTTTTTTATAGCAATGAACTATGTCGTCATTGACGGGTCTTGGCTATCACAAATGATTGGTTGACCAATAACAAAAATTTTAAGATTTATCTAAAAATACATAAACTAAATTTAAAAAATGAAATGAAATAAAATGAAAGCCTAAAGGAAAATAGTGAGATGTCATGATTTAGTTGTGTCGCTTCCTTTCACTGGCAAACTGCATTCTCTGTCTATTTCTTTTAGCCCTAAATTGAGTTTCAGCTCTTTGCTCTTTCCCCATAGCACACTGTACAGACCTGCGATCAATAAGAGCCCTCCTATACCACTACAACCAACCAAAAAACAAACAAACAAACAAGCAAATTATTATTAACACGTCTAACTATTAAATTTAACTCTATTGAGATAGTAACGATCTTTTAATAGAATATTCAATTTTGGGTCGAATAAAAAAGCAAACCCTTAAGTTACCTTCCGAGGCTGATATTCTCGCCAAAAAGAAAGGCCGAACCAAGAGTTGTAAGGACAAGAACAATTGGTGTTGACATGGCTAAGAAAACGGGCCCTTTCTTCTTAATGAGCCACGTTTGAATAGAATATGTAACCCCAGTTGCCACTATTCCCTGCACCAAATATTGTTATCTTTATCGATTACTAGATAAACGTAGATTTAAGCATCAAAGCATGAATTTGAACCTCTCATTTCAAATTAGGGTTAAGTAAATATGAACGATTAGTCGAGCATGTTTGAAATAAGTAGACTTAAAATAATTTCTTTATGATTTATGGATTTTGAACTATGCCTTTATATTTTTAAGTAGGGGTTGGTCAAATAAGAATAGAACATAGGGAAATGATTTTATGGTTATAATGCCTTAAAAAAAAAGACCCAAGAGAATCTGAGTTTAGCCATGAGCTTACTATGCCTTGATTAGAATTGTGATCGATGTTACTAGAGTCAAGGTCACTTCCCGATCCTTGACCGTGTCGTGTGGGAATTATTAAGTTAGGTAACTAGCTAACTTTAGTAGTGAACCTATCTCAATTAATAGAGGTATGCATGAGTACTTAGGATGATATAGATTGGTATTGATGGGATAGTCCCTTGATAGTAGAACCTTATTTGTACAACATCGTTTGTGGAAATGAACAAATTTCTCCCAACAAGTCTCTTGGGTCGTAAATTTGCAGACAAGATAGGTGAGGGATCACATAGTTACCAAGTAGTTAGTAGTCCTAGAATTGGACGTGACATTTTGGACCTTACTTAGGGTTCACCAACTAATCCTTTGTAGATGAAAAATTAGTATGGATCTAACTCTTTTCTATAAAGTCCCTTAGTTACATAGAAAAGGTTCACTACTTGGGGATTTTCATCTACATAAAATGTGAGAAAGGCTTAAACGAATGAATATTTGTAAAAGACTCAATGTGACGTCCGAGTAAATGAGGGGTACCAAGATCATATTAGAATGATATTGATCTTAAGAATATGATTCTTAAGAAAGGCTTAAATGAATTGAAGTTAATATCTACACAAATAAGGTACACTTTCATTTTTGATGTCTCAATTGTAAGAACTCTAAAGTTAAGCATACTTTAAACCAATCCTATATTTGGCGACTTCTAGAAATTTTCTTAGGAAACATGTGAAAAAAGACAAAAGCATGCTGAAAAGACATGTTAGTTTGTGGGGATAAACTTCACTCTTAGAAGCGACAAATAAGTGACATGGTCATGTCATAGGGGATGTAGGAGAATGTTGTGTCATCAGTGTTGAATCTAGGTTCTAAATCTTGGACATAATGCATTACAAATGGCATGAGTGGTACCTCTCCTAGTAGGATGTAATTCAAGGACAAACTCACGTGGAGTTGGTGGGCATGTGATGCCCGAGTAAATAAGAGATACATGAATGAATCGATATTATATTTGAATGAAAGTGATTCGAATGATAGGATTTATGAGAAATACTTTAAAAAAAAAATGAAATTACTACCTATACCAACCAGGTACACTTTTTTGTCTTAGTTTTTCTTAGATTTTCTTAGAAGGTGACCTAACACGAGCCATGTTGGCTTTACGCTAAACGAACCAAGGTGGAGTTGGTGGGCATCTTAGAAGGTCACGAGCAATCCTATGTTAGGTGACCTTCTAAGATTTTTTTTAGAAAGTATGTGAATGAGGACAACATGGTTCGTGTTGTTCTTTGGGGATAAACTTCACTCTTAGAAGCGACGATTTGTGTATGCATTCACGATGATAACTTTTTTAACATCAACAAAATTCAAGTAAAGAACAAAATAACTTACACAATATACAACGGCAAGAAGTCTTAGATCCCAACCCAATTTCCATTCGTCAAGGTCTCTCTCCAAAGCAATGGCAACAATAAACGATTGAAACGAGCTAACAAGACATTGAAGGGTTGTGAAAAGAAGCGTTGAAGGATAACTTTTCAGTACGAACGCCTGTATTAAACCAAAAAACTCGATAATTAAAAACAAAATCGTTATTAAACACGTCTTGACTCGTAGAATTAGAAAGAAATTAAGTAAGTACCTGAAGAACAAGTGATAAAGCCCATAAGATATTTGAAGCCATCATTAGGAGGCAACCCTTTAACCAAGTGTGGGTTGAAGCATCATGAAGTTCATGTTGATTATGTATAGTAAAAAGGTGGTGATCGTTAAAGAGAGTGAGTTGAGGGCCTTTGTAGAACACCAAAACCAACACACCGCCCGTACAAAACACTATTCCTCCAACCTTTGCTAATCCTACAATTGACCTTAACCTCAACACCTCCAACCTGCCAAACAATGAACCAAAATGTTACCATTTTGTAATAAATTTGAACAACACCGACCAATTTGTAATTAATTTCTGTTTATATTTCAAATGGGGTGTTGTTTCCTTTTAAGTTTTGAAATTTTTTACCATATTTATGTGTATTTTATCGTACTTTTGTTTGTCTTTTTTGTTATGGTCTGTGCTTCGAAACCTAGAAAATTAGATCGTTACATGGTCGGTGAGATTGAGAATTAGGATTGGAGATCGAAAGAATTGTGAGATCCCACAATCACACATTGGTCGGGGAGGAGAACGAAACACCCTTTATAAGGGTGTGAAAACCTTTCTCAAGCAGACACGTTTTAAAGCCGTGAGGGGATGTTCGAAAGAGAAAGCCCAAAGAGGACGACAGTATCTGCTAGCAGTTAGTTTGGGCCATTACAAAAAATAGGTTTTTTATTTTTCGATACCATAATTCAATGAGAGAGAATAGGATGATTAAGAAAGACTTTAAAAGAATTGAAAATTACTTCCGATACCAACAAGATGCACCTTCTTGGTGGCTCAATCGTAGGAACTCTAAAGTTAAATGGAAAGAATCTGTGTTGGTTTGTGGGGATAGATTCTGGGGATAGTCTTCACCCTTAGAAACGAGGAGTAAGTAAAGTCACCATGTCGTAGGGAAATGCTGAAGCTATTATGTGCCGAATTTAGATTCCAAACCCTAACCTGTTATCAAGATATAAAAGCTAAGAAAGGCTTAAATGGATGGAAAGTTACTACCTATACCAACAAAATACACCTTTCTTTTTCGGTGGCTTAATCTTATAACTCCAAAATTAAGTGTGTTTTGCTGGGAACAATTATTTGATGAGGGACCTCCTGTAAGTTTTTATAGGAAGTATGTGGATGAGAATAAAACATACTGAAAGAACTCGGGTTGGTTTGTAACTGAAAAGACCCATGTTGATTTGTTGGGATAGTTTTCACTCTTAGAAGCAAGAAATAAGTAAAGTGACCATGTCACAAGGGGTGCAGAGGAATGTCGGGCCGATCATGTGCCGTATTATGATTCCAAATCCTAGGCATGATTTATTACGCTAAACTTCTGATTTAACCTAAAACTATTTAATAATTAAGTCCAATTAGATACCTAATGAATCTTTTTTAAGTTTAAGAACATATTAGATATTACTCCAAAATCATATGAACGAAAAGCTTGAAAGTTTAAAGACCAAAATTAAAATCTGTAGTTTACCTAAATAGAAGAGCGAAAAGAAAGGTAAAGACTGGAATAGAATTTACGGTTGCTGCAGCTAAACTCGCCGATGTATAAATAAGAGCAACCCCCTGAAGATCGAGACTTGCCGTGATCCTACGAATAGAATAACAAACATTTGAGGTTACATAATTTGGTTTTTAGGAAATTATGAGTTAGATTATTTAAAATAGAATCATGTTCAAATGAATTACTAACAACATCTTAAATTTATTCTCTTATAAAACTTGATTTTACTTATAAAGTTGAAATTGTAAATTGATTTCTTTTCTATAAAATATAAAAGCATTGATTTTTGGTATATAATGATTTTGCATCTCTAGTTTGATCTATAATATATATACATACTTCCGTAACAAATAGAGATGGTCTATTTAACTCTCAAGACCTCAAAACCGTGTCTCGAACAGAGTTAGAATATTTTATAGTTAACTCTCAAGACCGTGTTTTTTTAAAAATAAAAATTAGATCTATTATAAACGTTGAAACTTCACGAGTTATTTGTTTAAATGTTTGCAAATTTAAAACTACAAAATCTAAATCCTTTCATGCAAGTTATACAAGAACAAATGTGTTTTTTTAACCAAAATCAAAGAGAGGAGCAATAAAAGCATACCCAAATAAAGAAAGCATAAAGATCTTGGCGAAGGTTACAAATGAGAGGGGAGGCGCAGTTTTCCTGAGAAACAAACAGAAAATTAAAGAGAGAAGCTAAGAAAATGAAGAAAGAAAAACAAAATTGTAGACTAAAAAAGAGTTACCATTCAAAATACAAAGCGATGGGTAGCAAGAACAGTGTGGCTATGGCTTGCCTATAGAAAACAAAGATAAAGTTGTTCATTCCGCCATCAAAGGCAGCTTTGGACAGCAGAAACATTCCTGCATATATGCTGTGTCTCAGTAACACTGCAAAATAAGGCTTCTTTTCCATCTTCCTCAAACTCTGTAATTTGATTGGTTCTTTGATTGGTTCATGATGACGAAGCCCATGACCGTTCTAGTAGACCAAACACCTAAAAATTGTGAGAAGCGATCAGAGAACAGAGCCATAACCATAATGCTTCTAGAATCAGATTAGCCTCAAGAGCTAGTCTTGAAAATCTTGGAATTGAGAGTTAAGGTTAAATCATTTAGATGTGTTAAGAAACTAGCTAACCTCCACGGCACTAAGAAAGGACTAAGAAAGCTTATCATGCCTATATAGTTGTTGACAGTATCACTAGAGCCTGTTTCCTATTTCCTTTGATACATCATTGGTGGTGTATAGTAACCTAGATTGAACCTAATAGTACTCTTACTGAGCTGTAGGTATTTAGGAACTTGTACCTCTGCTCTCTTCCAATGACCTGTCTTCCTCTTTTTCACACCGTGATCCTTGGCTTTTGAAATAAGAGGTCGGATCGATCGGGGTCATGCGTTTTGGATACAGAAATTGGGCTTTTCTCTTATTAGTCAAGTTGCTCGAGGCCAGAAAATTGGAATACATTGGTTAGATAGGATAATGCATCGAGCTTACCAATTAGGTATCCCTATCGTGTGTTGAAATAGGTCAAGGGCCTCCTAAACATGGTTGCAACTCTATAGATTCATCCTCAATGGAGATAAGGGACTACATAGGTAGACTCAATACTTAGCCGACACACGAATCCTTTACGTATATTCTTGAGAAAGGGTCATCAGTTAACTTGACACAGATGATATTTAGAGTCATGATGGCGTAATTCCCTCTTTATGAGATGATTATGATAACGTCACACCTCAAAAATCCAAGATACCAATGAAGGAACAGAAAAGGTGAATAAGTACCAAATTTTTAATGGGTTTGTGATGAGCATGAGAACCACTCAAAACTTCGAAAACTCTGATAGTTGTAAAATCTAAGTTCGAACTTCCTATAACCAAGAGAAAAGTTTGGGATAACTTACTAGGTTAGATGAGTCAAAAACCTTAAAGCATTTTAAATTCACCAAATACAACTTTTCTTTTTTATATGGAGTTAAAAGAGGAGGAGCGTCATCCTCCAGTATCAATCCTATGTGTTAGAGGTTGTAGTTTTTTTTATTTTTTCAACAATTTTATTTTATATGGTAAACTTAGTATTATTTGTTTTTCAATTGCTTGTAAAGTGATTTCAAATTAGGGTTTTTATCTTCATTTGATCAACAAAGTAATCCGAACCTTATTTTCTTTCACGGTGATTTCTTATCATCTTGACATTCTTGAGTATATTTAGATTTAAAAAATAAAGTTGATTTTAGAGTTAAACATTTAACTAGGATTTTGTATATTACGAAGGTTCTAAGGTTCAACATACTAGGATTACCATGAGATCTCAAATGAAATCAAACACTTAAGTTACCTTCCAAGGCTGATACTCTCGCCAAGAAGAACGGCAGAAGAAATAGTTGTAATGACCAGAATAATTGGCGTTGACATGGCTAAAAAAACTGGTCCTTTCTTCTTAATGACCCATGTTTGAAGAGAATATGTAACCCCAGTTGCCACTATTCCCTGCATATTATTGATTTGGTAAGTATGTATATAAAAATGGTGAAAAAAATGGAAAAAGTTGTCAAAATCAATCCCAGAGGGGTATTTTAGTCATTTATGTTCTCCATTAGAGGTATCAAGTGCCAAATTCAAATTTCAAATCATTATCAGAATCCTATGCATGCATGATACATTACAAATGGTATTAAAGCAGTATCTCTCCTAGTAAGATGTAAATAAAGGACGAATCAAGGGAGAAGCTAGTGGCCATTTGACGCCCTAATAAAGGATGGACGTGAACAAATTGATACCACATCCAAATGAAAGTAATTTTAAGGATAGGATCCTTGAGAAAGACTAAAAAGAATTGAAGTTACTATCTATACCAAAAAGGTGCATTTTCTTTTTGAGTGATTCGATGATAAGAACTCCAAAATTAAGCATGTTTAGCTTTGAGCAATTTTAGGTTGGGCAACTTCTCGAAAATTTTCCTAGGAAGCATGTAAGTGAAGATAAACAAATGTGAAACCACCCGTTTTGGTATGTGGAGATAAACTTCCCTCTTGAAAGTGATAATTAGGTAATGTTGTGTATGTGAGGATAGACTTTACTCTAAAAAGTGACCATCAAATGACACAATCATGTTGCATGAGATATAGGAGAATGTCAGAGTCAACCAACAAAATGACTTACACAATATGCGACCGAAAGAAGTCTAAGATTCCAAGACAATTTCCATTCGTCAAGGTTTCTCTCCAAAGCAATGGCAATAACGAACGATTGAAACGAGCTAACAAGGCATTGAAGACTAGTGAATAGAAGTGTCGAAGGATAACATTTCAGTACAAATGCCTGCGTTAAATCAAAGAACTCGTTATAAATTTTTACGATCCTTCATAAAAAGACATTAAAAATAATTATGAAGTAAGTACCTGAAGAACAAGTGATAAAGCCCACAAGGTATTTGAAGCCATCATTAGGAAGCAACCCTTAATCCAAGTTTGGGTTGAAGCAACATGAAGTGGATTTTGATGATGTTTTTGTATAGAAAAAAGGTGGTGATTGTTAAAGAATGTGAGTTGAGGGCCTTTGTAGAACACCAAAACCAACAAACCGCCCATACAAAACACTATTCCTCCCACCTTTGCTAATCCTACTATTGACTTTAGCTTCAACATCTCCACCCTACCAAACATTTTCTTTCCCTTAGAGATTAACAATGAGGAAAATATGGTAATGGAAATGCTTGAATGTAACGCTTTTAAATATCCGATAATATTTTTGGGTTGGGTTTACTGTAATAAGGTCAATTCTAAAAAGAATAATCATGTAGCAGTTGGAAAAGTGAAAAAAAAAAACAGACATAAGAATGTAGAGTGCTATTAGTACAATCAGAAAGGTCAATGTAGGGACCAAACATAGAAAGATGAGCGAGGATCTAAAAAGAGTAGCGAAACAAAAGGCTAATAATGTCCATGACTCCTTCGTTTGCATTAAATTGATATAGAGTATAGTAACTACACATATGAACTGTGTAACCCGATAAGAAATTTAAAATCTAATTTTTTTCTTTTATTGAGAGTCTTAAAGATCTAATTTAATAAAATTTAATTTCAAAATTATAAAGAGGAAAAAGTACTGGGAGAACTCTCCTAATTCAAGAAAATATAAAATAAAAAGGGTGGAAAAGAACAGTAAAAGACAATCTAGAAGGGTAGTTTGGTCATTCTTCCCTCCTCATAATCAAGCACCTAAGGAGGTTAGTAAAAGATAAGCAAAAGAAAAGAAAAAAAAGGAAAAGAGGACACGAGAAGAAAAGAAAAGAAGTAGAGAGAGAAAGAAAGTTATAAAGAGAGGGAAGTAACCGCCATATCAGTCGTGAGGAGTTTGATTCTAGTCGAGTTTCTTCATGAACCCTTCATAAAGTCTAGAGGAGAAGCATTCTGGACCTTTGAATCATCCAAAACCGTCAAGAAACGAGGAAAATCAAAAGATAAGTTCTTGAATCCTTGTTCTCGAATTTCTCTTAGATCCTTGAAGAATATTAGAAATTAGGTTCTGAAATTTGAGTATGTTAATCTAGGGAGTACTATGCCCAAAATCTATGAAGTAAGTTATAGACGATTCGACCAGAGATAGGAGTTCTAGCATTCGTCAAGATCTATGAGTGTTAAACTTTTGCCATGGGTCAGCATAAGAAAATTTAGATTCTCGACGCATGCCGCAAGACTTGGACCCATGCACTTGTTCTCAACGAACCAACTCGTTCATACCACGTGGCAACATGAGAGCGCACATCCTCCCCACTCTAGCGCGTCAGTACACATGTGTGGCTATGCACGTGGAAGACTCCTCTGGGACGTGGTGACATGTGACCCGCGCTTGAGACACATTTTGAAACTTGTTTGACTCTCGTTCGACTGCTTTTGGTCCCAATTTTGAAACTGGCCTAAATTTGACTTGATTCAGGATCTACCAACAAGTTTTCAAGAAATTTGGGGTTCTCAATTATCGGGAAAGTAAGCTTCGAAAGGCACGCTTCATCCTATAAGTAACTACCTAAATTTTAGAAAAGTGATACTTGTAAGGATCGCTAGTACAAACTAGCATGCGAGCATAATGTACCTAGGTGGTTAAAATATGTGTGATTAGAAAAACATAGAATAAACAATTTGGATAACTATGACACGTACTTGATAAAATTATGAAATTTCCCTTAGAACAAAATAATTGACAAGAATGCCTTATTTAATGTCTTCTATTGTGGTATGACGAAGGAAGTGATATTTTGATCTGTGTTTCGAGCTATTGATGGATGTTATCTCCCCATTGAGCTTGTTTGATTGTGTCTCATTTATGTTATCATTTCATGCACTAAGGGTTGGTAGGAATACCTTCTTAATAGATATCTCTGAATAGGTAGACACATTTGACGTGTTAAAGACAATTAATAAATATTTTTCCTCCTAAAGCATGCATCAAGAACTCAATTAAGATTACGACTCTATAACTAGTGCGGTTTACATGTAGAACTAGAGGTTAGACCTATGTGAACCTAGGGATTGGTTAAGCCGTAACCTAGAACTTCTTGGAATTGAGAAAATGGAATTTAAACTGCATGAATGCCCCTAAGAACCTAGTAGACCTCCACGGTGTCTTATCATGATTTAAGTAGCTTACAGAATTACGAAACTAGTTGAGTTACTATTGAGTGTACTGTCGGGTCAGGGCTGACGCTTTAATCCTCTTAAACTAGTTTTTGAGAAGAACTAGGGACTACATGGATAGTTAGCTCAAGAAATGGACCCCTATCGAGTGAAGAAATAGGCGAACTTGTAAACAAGTCTTGGTTGGACAAGAGACTACGCGAATAGGTGTTAGGATGAGTGTAGAAATGATTCAAGGCTGACGCTGTGACTTCGTAATCCGATCTTGGAAGAGATTAGAGACTACGCGGGTTGGTGGTTTAGTATGAACACTTCTATTGAGTGTAGGAATAGGTCAAGGCTGACGTCATGATGCCGTAAACTAGTCTCGATGAGGGACAGGGGATTACACAGGTAGATGATCAATGAAGAATCAATTGGAACTTCGTATAGACTAAAGGAAAACTGTAGGAACCTATTAGGAGAAAGAAGCGATAAGAGCCTACAAGTAGATTGTTTACTTAGTATATTTTTATACTTATCTCTTTTTTAAGTACTAGTCAAAGTAGAGAGGTGCTCTAGAGTTACACGGTTACTAGTCAAGGTGGAGAGGTGCTCTAGAGTTGCACTTTTAGAGGGGTGTCAGTCATTTCAAAGTGTCAAGCTTCGTTTTAAATTTTTGAGGCTTTTGTAATTTGTTTATAATTTCCCCGTTTGTAAAATTTTTGTGTGTCATCTTATGTACTCTAGTTGGTTCTTGTCTTTTTTCATTCGGAGAAACTTCAATTGTAATCTCTTGATTCTTCTATTCTTTATTCTAATCCCAACTCACATTTTAATCCACTATTATATCCCTTTTTAAGTGAAATCTTTTCATTAGGAGGGTTATATCGTTTATTTGTTTTTGATTGAGTACAATAACCAATAAAAATGTATTTTTAAGATATTTCATTAAGCTTGGAATGAAATTGAGGATTTATGAAAGCATAAGCAACACAATCAAATACTCCTATGGTTTTTCTTCCACGTCATGCTTAATAATAAGGAGTTCGATTCACGAAAGTCTTTGTTGGCGAAAGATTTAATAGATAGACAGATACTAGCTATAACTTCGACCTAAAATTAATCTGAAAGTCTCCTTACTTGTAAAATACTTCTTGTCATCTCTACAATAGTTTGATTTTTTCGTCAATGATTCTATTTTGTTCTAGAGTTTAAGGAGTTGTTAAATCCCTTTGGATGCCCTTTTCTTCATAAAATAGATTGAATTCTTTATATATGAACTCGTCACCTCTATCTACGTGAAGAACTTTAATGTTGCAACCACTTTAGTTCTACACGTAACTTTAAAATTCTGAAACTTCTCAAACGTTCCTATAGAAAGTAAACTCAACTCATGCAACTATAATCATCAACTAATAGTAAAAATAAATACTACCACCAAAGGATTTAGTTTGTATTTGTCCACATAAATCAACATGAATTAGTTCTAGACAATCTGAAGCTCTTTTAGCTTTTCGAATAGAATAGGACTTCCTAGTTTGCTTATCATAAATACATCATTCACATAAACTAATTGAATCAGTTTTTGGTAATCCGAAAACCATACATTTATCTCTGGGTGGCTTCAAGCCCCTTCATATGAAGATGCCCATATCCCAGATACCAAAAAGTCGAGTTATCTTTTGTGCTAGCAGCAAAAGCAAAATTTCTCAGGTTAGAAACAACCAATGGAAACACCTTATTTGAAATCATGACAATTTGAACTTTGTGATCTAATTTCTTATTTTAATGACACTTATGTTGTCATCGAATTAAATGGAATATCTTCCAGTCATTAATTGTCCAATAATCAATAAATTGTAGACTAAATCAAGCACAAATTGAACTCTATCTAACAGTTTTATGTTTCCGTGAATGGTTGCAACTTTCACCGTGGTTTTTTCTTCAACTTGCATCTCTCTTGTATTGTTGAGTTGTACCTTAATTCTTTGCATCTCATCAAGCTCCTAGAGTAAATATTTGGTGTTTGTCATATGGTTCGAGTCTCTGATATCAACAAACCATATATTTTCTTTGGGTAAATATCAATACAAGTCATAAAAAGTCTTTTCTTCTTCTACATTTTGTGTTGTAAAATTCATTGGGTAAATATCAATACAAGTCATAAAAAGTCTTTTCTTCTTCTACATTTTGTGTTGTAAAATTCATATATTGATCTTTATATGAAGTGCCTTTGTCTATTATTTCTCTCTCTACCCCTGTTACCACGACTACCATGGTTGTTGCGAAATCCTCCTCTACCACAACCTCTACTTGCTAAACAAACATTTTCTCCGACTACCATGGTTGTTGCGAAATCCTCCTCTACCACAACCTCTACTTGCTAAACAAACATTTTCTCCATGGTTGTTGGTTGTCTCCTTCACTTGAAGTGTCTTTTTTTTTCATTCCTTTCTAATGGTCTCTGAATTCTTGACTCATGAATTTGAAGCGAGCCTAACAGTTCGATAAATGAGAATAATAGATCTTTAGTTTTAGCTTCTTCTATAGTAGCCATGCTCAGACTTTGAAGTTAAACTTCTCAACACCTCTACAACAATTGTTTCCCTTTAAATTTTCTTTCCACTGAAAACGAAAGTGTACTTTGTTGGTATAGGTAATAACTATTAATTCTTCTATTTTTTTTTTTTAATTATCATATTCTTAGAATCAATCTCATTTAGATATGGTCCTGGTTCATTCATATATCCCTCGTGACCACAATAAATCTTTAATTCATCACTTTCTTTATGAAGTTGTAGCCATCATATTCTCACAATAAAAGCTTTTGAACCCAAAGAGCACATATTTGAGTGTGTGCTTCCTTTTGATTAAACCATAGGAAGAAAGGTCCATTATGGATTCCTGAAGATCTGCTCCCAAGGTAGCAACTTTGGAATTTTGACTGGTGCTCTTTTACCATTTGATTCTATCAGTATCGTCAATCCTTATTATGAAAATGATATTCATCAAATGAACACGTTTTCTAATCTCAATCCTTTTTCAGCGAGATCTAGACATAG